GGAGTTCTTAGTGGTGGGTTTGATCTTAGATGTATTTTCTGTAAAGGTGAGGTGGAGAGTGTTAATCATGGGTTATTATTTTGCACCTTTACTTGGAGGATTTGGTCTAGAATTTTACACTGGTGGGGTATACAATGGGTAATGCCTAGGTCTGTCAGTTGTCTGTTTAGCTGGTGCACTGGTGTTAAGCTAAAAAAGCAGGAAAAGATGATCTAGAGAGCAATTCCCCTGGCAGTGCTATGGTCAATTTGGAAACAGAGAAATGACAATATTTTTAACAACGCTCAGGTGGATTTTGATGGGTTGTGTGAATCCATTAAGGTTAGGATTGCATTGTGGGTTAAATCTTCTTGCCCTTCTATCAAATACTCTATTAATGACTTATTTCAAAACCTTCAGCAAGTTAGAGTCTGCATTAGGTATAATGCCCCAACTTCCAGACCGTTAATAAATCAAATCAACCTCAAATTTATAATTGCAGATAACTCATAATCTCAAATATACAAATCGTCTCCATAAATTAACACAAATGTCTCCAAAAATAATATATAGTTGTAGGCCCAAAAATCTTAAACTCAAGTAATCTCTTTAGATGTTTCAACCCCAATCGCCACTAAATTTTCTCCACGCCTGAAAAATAAATTAATTTGGGAAGTATACAATACAAAAAGAATAACAAGGCTCAAACAGAAAATAAATCAACAGAGATCCAACAATTACAAAACCGATTAGATTCAATAATCAAGCAATTTACCAAATTGCACAAACAAGTCAACTCGACATATGATAATTTATCCAAAACCAAATACCCGGTCCTACTCGATACATGACCAGTGACCGGCCTCACCCACCTCACCCAAGCACAATCGCTTATCCGGGCTATTGGTGCAAGCTATTGGCAAGGTCTACTCGATCCATGTACGAAGCATTTCCATGTCATTTAGCTAGACAAATAAACACTGACTATACAAAACAACTTCATAGAATTTATCAAATGACCAGAGTACTCAAACGTGTCAATAGAATGATTTCATAAGATTTATCAAATGATCACAATAATCAAGAGGATTACAAATTGGAAGTAATTAAAATAAACTATTTGCAAAGAGATTTAAAGGAATCATATTGTATACTACCAAATTACCTCAAATCAATCTCCTCCATCTCCAACACTCGAATCTCGATATTTCTCCATGGATCTCCAAAGTCTAAGGCATAAGGTATGTAAGGTTCCACAAAATCTACAACTCTTCTCCAATATGAAAATGCTTACTCTCACTTTAAACATTCTTAATCTAAACTCTCTATCTATATAACAAATGGAGAGAGATATGGGAAGAACCATAGAAAGAAGTTGAGATGTGAGCTCAATTTATAGACAAGGATACTTGAGACAAAAAAAAGAAAGACTTGAGGCCAAAGAAATGAACTTTACTTGGTGGGCAAGAAAGGGATTTACTTGGAGAACAAGAAAAGAAACTTCCTTGGAGACAAAATAATTTGGAGAGAAACGAAGATTAAAGAAATTAAAAATAAAATATTACTTGGTAAGTAAGGAAATGATGAAAAAAATAATAAAATAAAATTTACTTGGTGCCCAAGAATAATGAAAAAATATTAAAAAACAAAGGAGATGAATAATAATGAGATGTAGATAATAAAAAAAAAGATAAAATAAATGGAGAAAATAATTTAGATTCTCATCTAAATATCTTACCACCAAACTACCACAAATACCTCTCATTAAAATATTAATACCTCAAAAAAATGGGGTTTCACATTAGGGGTGGCTCATGAGTTATTTGGGAGTTTTCTTTCCTTGTTTTAGTGAAGCTTGCTGCAGCTGCTTGGTGTTGGTTGTTTTGCTGGTGTGTTAACTGATGGTTGTGGTGCTTTTGGTGTTTGTTTTCTCTTTTTCTTGTTGGTTTCTCACCAACTCTTCGGTTGTGCTTGCAACTGATTGGATATCCTCCTTGGTGTCAACCTAGTTGGGATTGGAGGGTGTACTTTAATGCTTTCTGCACTTTCTTTCTTTATTGATGTATTTTCATATGTAATGTATGTCTTTTTATCAATAAAGTTCTTTTTTGTTGACCAAAAAAAAAAAGAAAAAAGGTGATTAAGAAAATAAGCCCCCTTTTTTTTGGCTTCCTTTAATAAATAAATAAATAAATTAAAAAAAAAAAGAACCAAGGTTTCTCTTTTAAGATGTACAGTGATTGCATATAGAGAGGGCCACACAAGGTTTCTCTTTTAAGAGAACCAGCATAAAATCTGTGTATTGCACGATTTTGAACAAAGAACCAAAATCAAAATTTGTTAAGAGACATAACAAACCGTGATTATAAATTCTCAGAGCCTCTCTAAATTGGTCACTACGCTCTTTTTTTTATTATTTTTTATCAGCAAATTAAAATTTCATTAACAGTATAAAATTAAACGTACAGGAAGATGACATGCATCGAGAGAGATTTGGAAAGTACAAAATACCCCTACTACTGCTACTCGCATCCATACAACCAACCCCTTGGCCTCACAATTTTTTTAAACAAAAAAAGTTATGAAGGACTTAACTAAAAAATAAAATACATGAGTCCCCACAAAATCAACCCACCAAAACACCCAAGCTGCTCCTGCATTCCTCTTCTCAACAAACTAAAATTTTCTTTTCTCACACCCAAGCTGGTACTCCTCTATTCAACCCAATTATTTTATTCACCTACTACATTCCCAATGCTCACACCACCCAAACTAAAATCTTATCAACCACCATGCCAAGACCCACGCCTATGCTACCACCCACACCTATGCTGCTGCACTTCCAAGGCCACACCACGCCTATGCTACTGATCCGATCGAGAAAACTCCATAGCCAACACCGGAAAACTCCATAGCCAACAGCTCCATGGGCCAACACCGGAACCAACCACCGACCAACCACCCATCTGAACATAACTTAATCACCACGCCAAGACCGACGCCTATGCTGCTGCACTCCCAATGCCCACACCATCCACGCCTATGCTGCCGCACTCCCAAGGCCACACCATGCCTATGTTGCTGATCCAACCAAGAAAACTCCTTAGCCAACACCGGAAAACTCCATAGCCAACTGCTCCATGGGCCAACACCGGAAAACTCCATATCCAAGGAAAACACCTGACCACAACTTATTCTTCCGAACACACCTACTGCAAATCCAAACACTGACCAAACACCGACCAACCACCCACCTGAACACAACTTAATCACCTATGCTGCTGCACTCCCAATGCCCACACGATCCAAGCACCGACCAACCACTGGAACACCTCCATACATTGGAAGAAGTTCACCCCTTAAACTCTCACCTGAAGAGGAGCGCTTGAATGAAAACCAGACAGATCTGGATCGACTTCGACACCCATGTTTCCCCCCAAACACAGCATCGATACTTCTCCATAAATCTGAACCAGAGTTCACCCCTCAAGCTCCTACTCGCAAAAGAGCGCTCGAATGAAGATCTTGGACGTCCTCTATGTCGGTCTAATACTAATCACCTCCTCTATATTGACCCTTGTTCCAGGCATCCCCTGATGAAAGCAACACACCACTACTCCAATGAATCAGCTACACAGCCTCGAAGCACCAGAAAATAATCTACAGCAGCACACAAAAACACACCTAGGTGGGAAAATAATGGGGGAATCAAGTTTATTAAAGGGAATAACTAACAAACAAACGTCGGAAAAAGCTAGGCCAGCTGACCGCCATAGCCAAAGGCGGCGGCCAGCCGGCCCAAAATGAGGCCTGAGGAGCAGGTTTTTAGAGAGAGAGAGGTGTTTCGAGAGAGAGAGAGAAGTGATAGTGCATATATTGGTCACTACGCTCTCTAGTCACCTCCATTAAACTATTCCCTAATCATTTTCGCATTTGATGGTCAAATTTAACTATTTTTTCAAGTGTCTTCTCCTGGATACTCTCATAACTTTTAGCCTCTCGTAGTCAGCCTCTCCTCCCATTCCTCCTAACACTACAAAAAAAATCACTTTTGGCGACTAAATTTCTAGTCGCTAAAAGTTAATTTTTAGTCACCGAGGGGCTTCAGCGACAAAATTATTTGGTCGCAAAGGTATACAAATTCTGTCATTTTATTTCCCAACATAATATTTTACAGAAATTTATTGTGTATATATATTATTTCACATAATACATATTATAATTTTTTTTAAGTTATACTTTTGTTTTATTTAAGAAGAAAAATACCTACACCAATTTTAAACTTAGGATATAATGGATAAATAAATGCAAAATGTTGTGTCAAATAAACAACAAATTTGTAAATGTTTAATTTTGTAATAGTTTGATTTTTATTATAACATACAGATTTTTTTTTTTTTTTGGTTTAAATGTTAATTTTATTTTAGACCAAGCTGGGATGAGATTTTTATACTTGAGAGCAAGTTGGGTTGGGCTTAAGTACGTGAGCGTCATTTTTTCTAGCCTAGGCCTGGCTTAAATACTCACACCTATTCATTACTAATTTACTAGTTTGTCAATTAAAAGCATACCCTATTTTCAATTGCAAGCTAACACGTGGCCTATGAACTTGAAGCACTTATTTAATTTATTTTTATTTATTTTAACAGACACTTATTTAGTTCATCACTAATATGTCTCAAAAGTTATCATAAAACAAAAATGTGTGAATCAAAAAAAAATTTAATTAAATTTATTAGGAGTGACACACACCAAATTAAATTTAAATCTACATTGCACTCATTATTTTCATAATATCTTTAAGAGTAGTGATATACAAATAGAAAATTCATATAAAAACTTATATCGTTAGAGCAAAGATCCCATTTCAATTACACAAATAATATTACCATATCATACGTGTATAATAGTCTGTATTTATGGTAAAATAACATTTTCTTATTTTTAAACATATTTTTTTTCTAATTATATGTCTTTTCCTTTAATTCATGACTCCATGCATGACAATTACATCACAATCATGAAGGGAGAATAATTAGATTAAAGAAAAGGCCAGCCACATTTTTCTACATGGGCTAACTCTATTTTATTCATAGAGTATTACAAGCCAAACCGAAGTCTATTATGTAGACTTTGTAGACCATCTTCTACAGTGATCAACTACAAATTTTCCCATCAGACCTTAAAATTGACAACTGATCTGTAGCTTTTTCCTGGCTGCCAACCAAAGATCCCTAGCAGAATTACATTATTGGCCACAATTGTCTTCCCAGACTCCCCAGTGAGCTTTATTGAGAATGGAGCTTGCAAAGTAGACCCTGAGTTGAGTTTCCAAACAGCACCCCAAGATTCTTGCATGGAAAGCCAGGAGTTCGAGTCTAAAGCTTGTTTGAGATCAACTCCAGAAAGTGCTCCATCTCCGTCTTCGTACTCGATCAAAGCAGCAAAGTAGTTAGGGTTGGAACCAGCATCCACGTGAAAGGTCACCGATACTCCAGGATAGTTGCACTGGACTCTGTTAGTCAAATAATCAAATAATTAAAAGATAATCACTTTGTTTTATATAATAATACAAGAATAAGTAGAATTTTTTTTGTTGGTGTATATATATTTTTCTTTTTTAACTTTAAGTTGAAACTAGATGAATCTAAAAAAATTCAAGGTTTTGAAAAATTTTGAAAAAAGTTGGTAAAAACAAGAGTAAGGCCAACTTTAATATTGAAAAAAAAATGACAAAATTTAATTTATTTTCATCTTTACTCAACTTTCTTCAAGATTTTGAAGAAAAAAAAATTAATTAATTTTCAAGTTAGACAAACAAATAATTAACATAGTTTTTCAAAAATTTACTAAAAACAAAAACAAGTAAAAATAAAATAAAAATAATTTATAAGTTGGTACCAAAAAAAGTCTAAGATTAAATGAGGCTGATTGTATAATTGAACAAATATGTGGTTGCAAATATGTGGTTGACAATCTGATGCTGATAGTGACGACAAAAATGAAAATTGATTAAAATAAATAAACAAACAAAAAAGGAATAGTAAAAGGATAATGAGGGTGATACGTTTGGTTTCTTAGAGTTAAATAAGTTAAAAATTGCGACTGGACAACATTAGTGTCACGGAAGTAAATTGTTTGTTCCTTCTCATGACTACAATTTCCATGTTTTAAGTATTTATCTATAGTATATAAGTTCATATTTTTAAAACATATTTTGAAAAACACTGTAAAATCAAATGTGTAAATCAAATTTGTATCAAGTGTGACTTATATAACAACTAGTTAAATCTGTAGTATAGATTTCATGTTCAGATTCAATTATTATATAGTTGAGCTCGCATTTTGATTCAATTTAGGCCATATATTAAATTTTTAGGTCTATGGTATATGGTATACCACCTTTTATATTGTATTTGTAAGATTCCGGCATTGCGCAATTGATCAGCTTGGCCAGAAACCGCCATGGCTCCAAAAGCAGTGCCACTTAAATCAAAATGAGTAGATTCCGAGACACAACCGGGACACTCATCTGTTATTACTACCGTCACCGGATTACCGGAGCAAGCTGCATTGTCTGTGCATTTCACCTGAAATTTTAACACTTAAATCACTTGTGAATCAATGAGTATAGGAATACAGAAACTAGACACATAATTTGATATACACAAAGAAAAATGCTTGCTCCCACTAATTAGTGCTCCCACTAATTAGGTGGCAGTGGGTCCCGCCATTAATGATGTGATGTTTTGGTCTTGAAGTTGTGTTTTTTTTTTTTAATACATTAGTACTATTAGTGATGATATTTTTAATGAGATGAATCATTATTAAAAATCCAATTACATATAGTTCTGATGTGACTGCTCTGTCTGTCTGTCACTCTCTCTCTCTCCACTCCACTCATACAGAAGACGAGTAGATTCCGAGACACAACCGGGACACTCATCTGTTATAACTACCGTCACCGGATTACCGGAGCAAGCCGCATTGTCCGTGCATTTCACCTGAAATTTTAACACTTAAATTACTTGTGAATCAATGGGTATAGGAACACAGAAACTAGACACATAGTTATATATACACAAAATGCCTAGTTGAATAAGATTTATTAAAAATTATGTTCACTAGTGTATATAATTTTTGTATCCACATGTGCAGTTACATAAATTAAAGAAAGATTAGTAAGAACAAAAACATAGAAATCCGGCACACAATACACATTGGATAGGCTTTTAGAAAATTTATTAGTAGAGCCCACTTTTACAAAATTATGCCCATTGGTGTATTTTATGGGTGTAAATGTCATGGGTCTCAAATAAATGTTTAAAATTTTTACCAAACTTCTCATATGGGCATCGAATTCACACACATGATTTGTGTAAATCCCGCACCTATGTGAGAGGTTTAGTAGAAAAATTGATAATTTATTTGAGATTCCTAACATAACTCTTTTATGGGTTGCATAAATTAAGAAAGGATTAGTAATTTCAAGAACACAAAAACGAGACAAATAAAAGGATACACAAAACACTTGGTTGGAAAGGATTTAGAAAATTTGTTGGTGACCCCACTTTGAAAACTTTGTCCATTAATGTCTCTTTATTTCAAATTTTGTGCTTGATTTTTAAGTTTTTAGGCTTAATGGAATATTACAAGATAATTGAGCTAATCACACACCTGATAACATGCTCCACAGCCTTTGCCTGATTTATATAGAGAAGGGCCACCAGCTGATATCAAAGAAGAGAATGGTGGTTGATCCACTGCATTTTGATATCCACATGCCCCACCTATGCATACAAACAAGTACAACAACACATGTCCAATATTAAACATCATCAAATCCACTTCATTAGTAAAAAATCAAAATCAAAATCAAAATCAAAATCAAAATATCTCCCTAATTTGAAATGTATAGATCAAATTCGTTCTCAATGCGGTCCATACCACGAAAGTTTAAATTTACACTATACATTCAAATTCCTAGTATTTTCCAGAATATTTTTTCTGGGTAAATAGCATTTATGTATTATAACAACTCTCTCTCTCTTTCATTCTCTATGTGTGTGTATGTAAATATATATAAATATTACCATCGGACCCAGCACCAGTGGAGCTTCCATACCAGGTTGCACCAGCAGGGGACCAGTCAGAATAAGATTGGTACTTTGAGACATTAAAGCGCTTGGGATTGAAGCAAGAACATGAGTTCATAAGAATAGAAATGAGAGCTATATAGGCAATGAAAAGCAAGTGGAAGTTGAGAAAAAGAGCCATGACTAGAGTACACTCCTATGTATATAGTTTATAGCTTAGTAGTGTTTGGTGGCTTGGATAGATAGATATAACTGACTGCTATTTATAGAGTGAGAGCAGTGCTTGGTTTCTGTTGCATCTACACTCTATCAGTGGCCACGTGTCCTTTTCCTGAGAATTTGAGTTTTATTCCTTGATGAAAAAGCGAGATGTGAATTTGGGTAAAACCTTTCATGAAAATATTCATGAAACTTCTGTGATTCATAAATTACATTTAGAATAAAACACCACACACCAATCAAGGTAATCTAAGGATCATAAATCTTTCATGATCATTTTCATGAAAAAAATTTCATAATTCCTAACTTTTCTCATATAAAAATATTGAACATTCTTTACAAAGGTGCAAGCTAATATTAAATACAATCATCTTCGTACTAAGATTTGTGCAACCAATATCATATACCCTAAAATGAGGAATATTGTTGCATTCTGAGAGGGTGTTGCGTAGTACTATGATATGATCAGTAGAGTTAGGAATACAATATATTTGTTTGGCTCTTTGCAGGGGGGATTGGACTAATAAGAGTGTTTAGTTGAGAACATGAGTGAGAAGATTAACTATCCTCTTGAACTAATGATTCCCCCTCATTGGTAGGACTACCAATTCCATGGAGGGGTTAGGATTAGAAATTGAGCTAGGAGATTGATGAATTTTTAAATGATTTTCAAGCAAATTTTATATTTTTTATAACAAATTAAATAATTATAATATTAAAAATACTAAAAATTAAAACATATTAATTTTATATATTAATACTATTTATAGTATTACTAATTCGATGGTATACAAATAAACACTATTTATCTTACAACTCTAATCTAATACCATCATACCAATAATCTCCTCACTCAATCCCACCATACTATCCCCTTCATCTTATAGAGCCAAATACAAATGTGGCCAAAGTTCCAAATACAAAATGCACAGATGTGACACGTGCATTTTGTATTTAAAACTTTTTGTATTCTTAGACTTTTTCTAATATTACATTTTCTCAATCACAAATATGTCTCATGTTGTCTCCTATATGAAAAAAAATAATGTTAGACATCCCAACAAAACTATCAAATTTTTTACCAATCACGCTCTAACATTTTTCTATTAAACACTCCCGAAGTATTTTTTGGGGTCTATCATTTTGTTAAAAAATTTGATAGTTTTGTTGGTGTCTCTAACATTTTTCTATTAAACACTCCCGGAATATTTTTTTATCAGAAATACTATTGTCTCCGAATACTCCAGACAACAGTTACTATAAATGTAAAAGATCTTACTGTCAAGCCAATCATAATACTGTAAAGTACCACGTGACATTTATCATTCCTCACCCAAAAAATTCTTATAAAATGAAGATCATAGGACGTCATAGATTAATAATCATGACATCAGCTACACTACCACATTAATAAGGTCTGGGTCTCAAATTCATTAGATATAAATAGTAGTGGTACCGAGGACTTCATAAAAGATTTGTTGAGAGTCAACAAAAAATTGGAATAAATATTGAAGAAAATACTCTTCAAAAACATGATAAAACTCTTCTCCATTCAAAGAAAAAAGTTGCATTTGAGCCTTGACCAATATGCAAATATGAAGAATCAACATGTGTTATTTCTCTCAAAATAAAATTTACGTCACAATTAATCTGACTGTAATCCACCAAAGGATAGAGATCACAAATAGTTTTTAATCCAATGGCATATATTAAATCTCTATCAATTTAAAGTCTGTACTCTATACCTTGCTCCCTCCATCGATTTTGTCTAGTGACAACAGCCCTTCATTGCGTATACCCTTCTTGTGTGCCCTTATTTTTAGTCATTCAAATCACACACTTCGCTTTCTTCATTCAATGTATGACGGTGATGTAAATATATACTATTCAAATTCTGAAATAAATGGGCAAGTTGGATACAAATACAATACGAGAAAAATTAGGGATCATGAAAAAACTTTCATGAGAATGATCATGAAAGATTTTTGACTCTTGGATTACCTTGATTAGTGTATGGTGCTTTATTTCAAGTGTAATCTAAAAATCAAAAATCTTTCATGATCATTTTTATGAAAATTTTTTCATGATACCTACCATTGCTCATACAATACATATGCAGTATGAGTTGAGTCAAATGACTTGAACCAATTAATGCAACTCCAAGCTAGAAGATGACTTTTAGGTTGTCTCCTATTTGTCCATCACAAATAGTCTATAAGGGCAGCTCTAATAGTCTTCTAAGTATAATTTAAAAAGTTTTACTTTTTATTTTATTTTATTTTTTTATGTTTATAGGAGGGAAATAGAAAAAATATATATATGTATAAATTAAATGCTCAATAATTAAGACTTATCACTCCTGATAAATGAGCATTTTACATTCATTAAAACAAACCTTAAACCATGCACTCCTTTTGTTAATGCCTATCTTGATAAAATTTTATGGAGTTTTGCTATTCTAGCCGCTTCTAATTACTTGTTACCACCAATACCGTCAAGCTCCAGCCACTATCCGACAATCCACTAATCAATTGGTCACTGCTCATTCCAGTAGACCGCGGCCGATTCTATGACTTCAAGCTAATCAACTTCAACTTTCATCTCCATTGTTAGTCACCAAATTAATCTACTCTCCACCATCGGCCATCAAATCGGATAATTTTTTTTTTTAATTTTTATGTACAGTGAACAATTTTTTTATTCGTTTTTTTAAAAAAATAAAAAAAAAATTGATAATATTATGAAATGAGACCTTAATATCCCTGCAATAATTTTTCAATCGAGAAAGATGATTTGCAACCCCATCTTTGGGCCATATGCCATTGGCAGCATTTGCAAAGCAGATTTATTTTTATTTTTATTTTGTTTATTTATTTATTTTGTGTGTGTGTGTGTGTGTGTGTAAAGCAGTTGCTCGCTCGAATGGTTATGTTATGGGCAAAGACTGAGATTCTAAAATGGATATGCAAGGTTATGATTAAATTAAAAAAAAGTATGAAATTTACCAGTGAAATAAATTTAAATTATTAATATTTATTTTTAAATAATTTTTTTAAATTTATAATATTATTGTATGTTATGTGTACCAAGGTTAAATGAACCCCCACACACTTACACAATGAGCGGGTCCCACAAAGTACTGTGGTCCCCACCTTATTTGCCGTATGTTTCTATCCCCCCTTACCACTTATCAAGGAGATCATGATCCACGAGCCCCCCTCATACAAGATTTGCGGTTGTGATTGAAAGCGATATTTTTTTTAACATTTTCTCATTGATAGATTATCGGTTCGTTTGGGGTGTTGGTTATTTTTTGAATTTTTGATTTTTTTGATTATTTTAATTTGGGACTAAAAAATTTTGTTTGGGATAGATTTTTTTGACTTTTTTAACTTTTGTAAAAGAAAAAATAAAATGATTATAATTGGATGTGACATTTTGTCCTATTTAACTAAAATAATTTATTTTGTCCTATATAGATATTTTAGTCCTAACATTTATCCAAACAGGGCCTATTTATAGTTCGTGTTTGGCAATTAGTTTTTTTAGTTAATTTTTTTGACTTTTTGATTATTTTAGTTTTGACTAAAAAGTTCATTTGAATTGAATTTTGTGTGAAAAAAAATAAAATAATTATAATTTAAATGTGACATTTTGTCTTATTAACTTTTTAACTTATTTTATATTTTTGTGACTAATTTAACAAAAAAAACACATTGCCAAATGAAGCTATACACAAATGACTCTTTTCTATATTATTATTTATATGTTTTTTATATTTTATTTTGTGAGTTCACAGTAATCATTAAACTGTTTATTATATAAATTTTACAATAAAAATTATTTGTACAAAAAATTAATTTTATTAAATATTAATAAAAAAATAAACAAATTGCATATTATTTTATAAAATGAACAATATAAATTTAAACTCATAAATGTCGTCTATTTTTTTTTTTTTAACAAAAATGTAATTTGTTAAAGTCTTTAGTGATATTCGATAAAATTCATTTTTTGTTCAAATTGTTGTTGATAAAAGTACATATTAGAGTAGTATAAAAGATTAACCAATTTGAATCATTGTTGTGAACTCAATTGACGCCCACAAAATGAAATATAGAGTAGTATAAAAGATAATGCAATAGTATAAAGAGTAGTCATTGCAAAATTACACTTAGCTCTCTTGAAATTTAGAAAAAATAAAATAAATCTCATAAGGGTGGGCGCGGGTCGGTTGCTTCTGCGGAACCTCCAATCCGTCATCGGTCCGCTAGATTGACGGATTGGAGAAAATCCATTCACATCCGTCCGCCAATCCAGCGGATACGGATTGAGCGGATTGGCGGTTTGGCGGATGGATACGAATCGATTTGGCGGTTTGAAATTTTCTAAATTTTCAACATAGTTCAACTTGTACACTTCTCCAAAAAAATATATATATATATATATATATTACAGTCAATGACTTAAAAAAGTATTACAATTACTGCATGCCTCATCCAAAGAAAGAAAGTTTGAAACTTTAGATTATCACAATCACTGCATGCCTCATCCACATATTATAATTACAGCATGTCTCATCCGCATAAAGTATTACAATCTGTGGTTCTTAAAATATAAAAATAATTCAAAGCACCAAAACCATGAACAGAGCAATAGTAGATATTGTATGTCTCTGTATTGTTACATTTATATATGTTTTTGAAAGCAAAAACCAACCAGCATATATCATATTTTCTATTTATTACTTTTAGAGTTAGATTTAAAAACCAAAAAATATAGATAAATAATACGTTTATTTTTTTCAATTCAAAAAATATATTCAAGTTGAAAACTTTTTTTCAACAGAATATTTGAACTATTTTTCAATTGAAAACACAAACAAAATATTTAAACAAATTAAAAACACAAAGTCTTATAAATTACTAAGGGTACTCGCGGTTTGGCAGTTCGGTTACGACCAAAGGAACCTCAAATTCGTCATCCGTCCGCCAAATTGGCGGATTGGAGAAAATCAATCCGTAACCGTCCGC